TCAGATGAGAAACCCATTACAATATGAACTGGTGCTCCCAATAGATAATGTGTGATCTCTCTCTCTGGTGCTTTTAGAATTTTTTTTCTTGGTCTTTGGTTTTCAGAAGTTTAATTATGATGTGTCTTGATGTTGATTTCTTTGTGTTTTTCCTCACTGGATAAGAAAATAAAAATTTAGAAAGCAAACAAATGAGCAGATAAATCAATCAATCTCAAACAATCTCAGCTTTTACTAAATTTGGTTAGTTTGAGGCCATTATTTCTCTGAATACTCTTTTGAGCCCCACTCTCTTCAGTCCCCTTCTGGAACTCTGATGACAGAAACGTTGGCTCTTTTATCATCATCCCACAAGTCCTTGCGGCTCTGGTCATTAGTTTTTTGTTTATTTTCTCTGCTCAGATTGAGTACATTTTATTGATCTGTCCTCAGCCCCACTGATTGTATTTTCTTTCTCATCTCCTTTGTACTTTTGAACCCACCTGGCAAATTTTTTTTGTTATTGTATTTTTCAGTTCTATAATTTTCATTTCTTTTTTTACAACCTCTACTGCTGAGATTTTTTTTTTTTTTTCTTTTAACTTGTTTAAGAGGATCTGTAATTGCTTATTGAAGCATTTTTATGATGGCTGCTTTAAAAATCCTTGTCATGTAATTCTGATGTCTGATTCATCTGGGTTTAGCACCAGTTGTCTTTTCTCATTGAAGTTGTGACTGTTCTGGCTCTTGCTATGACAGATAACTTTCAATTTTATCCTGGACATTTTGGCAATTATGCTAGAAGAACTTGGGTCCTATTTAAATCTTTCATTTTAGCAAGCAGTCATCCTGTTTAGGTTTAGCTCACAGGTCCTGGCCTATTTTTCAGTCTGTGGTTCCAATGATAGATCATTTTCAGAGGCTTTGTGGAGCTATTTTGGTCTGTTTAATTTATCTGGTACACTGGGGTCCCACTGGTCCCTGCTGCCTGAGGGGACCAAAGGAATTTCCCCAGGTTAGGCGATGGTGCCTCTGGGCACGTGAGGACAAAGAAACTTTCTGAGCCAGGTACTTGCTATGTTGAGATTTCCCTTGCCAGCACTTTGGGAGGAGATTCTCAGGTCCAGTAGGAAGAGTGTTTTTCAGGCAGGGGACTTACTGTGGTGTGATCCACGGCCTAGGTGATGGTGTTGTCAGGTCATTTAGCATCTGTTAGTGGTGGAGGGACTCTTAGGCCAGTGCCTTATGGTGACTGAGCTCCCCTCTGATCCCTCCTGCTGGTGCTGCTGATGCCCCGGGTGCTAGTGGAGCTCTCCTTTGACCTGGGCCACCTTGCATTGCTAGGCTGGGGGTTGGGAAATGGTGGACCTAGTTCATCTTCTCTGGGTGGGCAGGGGGTTGTAAGATGCCCTACTATTTGTTTCCCCAGCCTGGGGCCCCTAACCTGTTTACCCACCCCCCTCTTTCAGAGTTTTTGGCTGTCTCTTAATTATTTTCAGGATTTGTAATTGTACTTAGCAGGAAGGAGTAGGGAGAAACACATCTACACCACTTTGTCCAGATCAGAAGTCCCAGCACATCACAGTACCCAGGTTTTGATACTCCCTAGGGAGTGCAGCTGCAGTAGCCACAATGATGGGCTCAAACATGCTGGTGACTGTATGAAACAGGAGTGGACAACATTTTGTTCAGTTGTACACGAGGCTGCCCTGAGTTGGAGTTGACTCAATAGCCAGCCACGAACAACAACAAAAAAATGATGAAAGACTGCGGAACCCTGGCTGACTTATGAAGCCCTGGTTCTTGCACACAGTAGTCAAGCCCACCATACTTTGATGCCTGCGTTCTCCCCCAGCCTCACTTACCAGGTGCAGCCTATGTCCACCTATAAGGAACTACTTATAGGGTCCCCCAAAAGCTATGCGTCCATGTCCATCCTCACCTATGAGCTGTCCTGTGCTCTCCATTCTTCCTCACCTGAAGAGTGCTTACTGACCCCTTTAAACTCGGCCCAATCCCCCTTTCTCTGTACAGTCTCTGACTTCAGCAGTTACACTTCCTTTCCTGGGAAGCCAACAGCACGCTGCAGTTCAAGCATTTATGTAAAAATTTAAATTCTCTGAGACTATATGCTCCAGAAAGGCCAAGACCACATTCTGTATAGTGCATCTGTGCCCAAGTGCCTATCCCACCTTAAACCTCTGATAAATAAAATCCAACCTTTTTAGATTCAATAACGAATCAAATTGGGGGAGAAATAAACTGCCATTGTGATAGAAAGGAGAAACCAAAACAGATTCCTTTCTGATTCTGGTAAGGATATATAGGTTTTAGGGAAAGTGAGGAAACCAAGGTCTTTGTCTTATTCCCTAGGATCTGTCCTTTGAGTGTATATTTGATATCCTATTGCTGGCTCCAACTGTGAGGATGATATCAAAAGGTAAGCCATTTAGTAGAGAGTGTTATTTATAACTGTGTCTCCTTAACAACTTTTCTACAACGAGCAAAATCAAACTTCAAAGGAATTGCTCTGTTGCACAGAGACCATCAAGGCCGGCTCCGGCCTCCAGCTTCTGACAAAATGAACCAGTCCCATGTTTCCTCTAAGCTCCAGCTACATCACATGGAGCCACTGAAAGGAAGGCTTTCTCCTAAATACTGTCAACCACCAATCACCCAAGGAACCACCGAACAATGGAAGGAGCTCCTGGTGTGTGAACCTGGCTTCTTCCAACTAAGTGCATTTTTATATTAGATGAAATTGGGGGGGGGGGGAGATAAATTAAGGAAACATTGATTCTATCTATGTGACATCACCAAGGAAAGAATTATACCATTTGGGCTTTTGAGGCATTAGGGACAGGGGTACAAAATCAAACAGGTGACTGCCCAGAGGTTGCACTCATCCCCCCGCACCCTTACCCCGATTCGTTGCAACAGGGCGCCCAGGCAACCTTTTGTTTCTGCCGCAAAAATAAGGCTGTTAGCCTGTTTCACTTACCAAGTTCAAAGGGTGCTTAGGAACATAGCTTGCACAGATTCTTTTTAAAAAAAAATAAATAAATAAAGACAAAAAGGGTCTTTGGCGATTGTCATCATCTACTATAGTGACACAGAAAAATACCAACCACTGCCTGTTTCCCAACATGTTTCCCAACGTGAATATTTACAAAATATTCAGACTTTTGTCCCAGTAACTTGGAAACTCAAAAGGAATTCTCATATTGAAATAAGATATTATTATGCAATTAAAGAATTTTCTATTTTAGGATACAAGATGTCCATAATAATAAACTAAAACAATAGAAACATCTAATTCTTAAGGGGACAGATTTTTGCATTAGCTTGAAAAACTGGGAAAAGGAAAATTGCTCTGTACGAATGATGTGGTTTCACTGAGGAATACAACAGATCCTTTATCTCTTTGAGTAAATCCATCAACCTATTCTGTGATCACTGTTACAGTAGCCTCAACACAAATGAGTGAAAAGCACAGTGTGAACAAATTCAGATTTCCTTGATCTCCCTTCTTTACCAATGTACCTAGTGGCCATGAACGACTGTGCTCACTCAAGTGTGGGAATCTTAACCCAGCCAGAGCTCAGGACTAAGCCTCGAGTCTCACTGCACACGATCCACAGCTTTGTATGTTGAGATGTTTCATGCCCAGCAAGCCCTGGGAGGAGGTACGACTATCATTTAAAACAGTATTTTGAACATGTTTCTGACTACAACTTTCAGTAAAAAATGAATTTACATTGTGATCCAGCATACCCATGTGCCAATGCGTGCATTACACATGCGTAAACAAGTTATCCTATGTATGGTACACGCTGATAATTTCTCTATTTCTTATGCTTTAATGCTGGTTTTTAGCCACTACATTGATTTCACAACCCATTACTGAGTTCTGGTCTAAAGTCTGAAACATTATTGATGTTCAGCACTCTCATTTTATGGGACACAGAGTTAGATTTCTGAAGTTAATCATGTTGGAATTGTAAAATCCTAAGAAAGAGAAATAGGAATGTCAACGAGGATTTCTCTTCCATGTCACATACAAATCGTGAGGAGCTGGAACATTCTGAAGAATTGGTGGGCACATGAGTGCTGACCACCTGGAATACAGATAAACACAGGTAACGTTTCTGAGGGAGCTCAAAGGGGGGGGGGGCGGGAAGTCTTACCGGAACCCAGCCAACCTGCACAGTCTTTTATATCAGTGCTGTGATGCAATCTCATCTTCCTTTTGCAAAAGAAATAATTATAAGACTCTCAGGATTGGGAAGAAACTAAAATATCAAGCTCTACATTCTCCTGTCAGATGCCAAAGTAAATCAGCATCTCCTTTGAACAATCTGAGCAGACAGACTCTGGTCCTATCTGAAATCACTAACTTCAATTAGGAGCAGAGGAAAATACGATTCATTAAAATGTTTACCTTTCTCTGTCTCTTTTTTAAAAAACAGTTACTAGAATTTTATTAGCCAAGGGACAGCAACTGGAAGGGAAAACATAACAAAAAAATACATCTGAAGTATCCTTAAGTACATCACATATTTATAACTTAAGTATCATATTTCAAAAGGCCACCCACTGCCCATCAGCTCATTAAATGTAGCAACTTCCAAGGCCACTCACTGATGTCATAGGCCCACTTGTCAATTAAATTAATATCCACTGTCTTTTGGCTCCTGGAGACTGTCTGCTGCATCTGACTAGTCTCTGCATCGGCACCAGGGAGGATGCTGCTCGATCGTTTGAGGTTAATTCCAGCTCTGGAGGCAGTGTCATTTCTCAAAGAAAACTTCCAACTTGCTAAGTCAGCTGATGAAGACAACATGGGAAGCCAGCCTCTATGTCTGCCCTCCCCTCCACGAACCACAGCCCTGCAGCCTTCCAGGAGAGCATGTTACAGTCTAGGCAGAGGTAGGTTCTGGAGCCTCTCTCCTGGCACAGAGCTTATCACTGGCACTTATGGGGTCCTCTGGAACTTCTGACCATGCCCATGGTCTATGAGATCAGAATGTGCTTTCAAGTAGGCAGTGGCACCCACAACCAGTTGGACACACCTCCTGTGTCCGAAACCATTCCATCATGTGGCTGGTGTGTCCGCCATGTCCACAGGTTAGGCAGAAATTGGATGATCCTCGCACTGCCACGTGGCAGATGGCACACTGGAATGTGAAGCCTTTGCAGATGGCACACTGTGCGCCACGGACCTCACTCCGGCAGTGACTGCAGTACACACCAAATTCTGGAAACAAGTGCAGATGACCCCAAAAGAGATAAAGAATAACAATACGTTTAGTTCTGAAAAATGATACTGGCACTGCTAGCTAAGAAAAATGTATTCCTCTTATGATTCTAAACGATTGTATTAAATCAATGGTTTCTACTTTTTTAAAAAACAAAAAAACAGAAGAATCCTTCTTCTGAAATCTAGATAAGTATCACTGAAGTGGCAGGGTGTAGCCAAAAGGGGTGCAGCAGGCACCTGACTCTCAGAGGTCTTCTGTGGGGCCCTGTCACCTGCCCATTCCACATCTGCCACCAAGCAGCTGAGCATCCCTGAGGGAAGGACCACCATCGAGAGTGTCTCACTTCAAGCTCAGGATCACCAGTGGGCACCAGCACCACACAGAGGCCTGTGTTTCTGAAACACGTGACTATTCCATGCCTCCTCCAGAGTCTGCAAACTCCTCCCATGCTGCTTCACTCCCTTCTCATGGGAGAGAGAGATGGTAGTCTGTTTCGGTAAAGATTACAGCCTTGGACACACTATGGGGCAGTTCTACTCTGTCCTACAGGGTTGCTGAATACAAATTGGATCAACTTGATGGCAGTGAATAAGGAGAAAAGCATATGATAATCCCAGTAAGGTAAATCATGAGACATTAGGTTGGTTTGATAATTTTGCTTTAAAAACAGTGATGTTTTCTCCTTCTAAATGTAACATTGCATTGTCTGTAAGTCTTAGGTTTATTTGTGCATGAAAAGCTTAATTAGTTAAAAGTTCTTAAATTTCCCTTATTGGTGTTATTGGTCAGATAAAATTTTACTTCAATATTTAAAATTATAAGAATGTAAAAACTATGTGCTCCAGTAAATAGAGTTATAATAACATGCTTTTTAAAAGGGCCAGTCCTTTTGTACTTGAGGTTAACACCTGGGTAAAATTATTAAAATGACATCTCTGAAAAACTCAATAATACCATTTGTAATTATATAGGGTACTAAGGAGCTCTGGGGGCGCAATGCCTAAGGCATTTGACTGCTGACCAGGAGGTTGGCTGTTCAAACCCACCAGCCACTCCTCAGAAGGAAGGCTGGACAATCTACTTCGGTAGAGGTACTGCCCGGGAAACCCAAGTAGAGGTCGCTATGAGTTGGATCCAACTCCACAGCAGTGCATTGCATTTTGTTACAATGTACTAGCTTAAACACAATTTCCAAGACCCTTATTAACTTCAAGTCCCTGCTATAAACAACAGGTTGAGAACAGAAACTTCTAGTAAAAACATCAAAACAAAGCACTGGTACAGACACTCTTCAATACTGATACTAAAGAGACTCCTGACATCTTTAGCACATGGAAACACCTGTCAGGCTAGGGATGAAGCCGGGATTTCTGGTATCTTCAGGCCAGGAGCAGACAACTAAAACTAGGCAGCAAGGAAACCCAAGGTAATATCCTGATTTATTTTTTTTAATGATTTTAGTGAAAATAGATACAGCCAAAGGGATTAGGTGAGGAGGGGAAACTCAGGGACACCCAAAGAAGCAGGCCAGAAAAGCAGGAGAAAGGGATTAAAAG